TAATAATTTCATTTTAACTAAAATCGCCGAGGGGGGGGTGCCGGATGGTAACGTGAGCCCTTTGTTTGAACGTGGTGATAATCATGCCCCAGTCAATTATCGACTGACGATTTTACTTGTATGGCTGTAATACGAATGAACTCCGGGCTGTCGCAGCGCAGCGGAGTGAACAGATATACGTGCCAGGATGTCCTAGGCTCGTATTCTCGCAGCGGGTACTATATGAGGTTTTGCGGGCGACAAACGAAGGCGAGGAACGGCAGTGGGGACGCGGCACATGGGTTGGCGAGGAAACACTGTCAGACAGGTCTTCCGTGGGTCGGGGATAAGGTTTAACCTTCAAGGCAAAGCAAAAAGAATGTCATGAACCGAAAAGGTCTTGTGAGGTACAAGCAATCACGATAAATTATTACTGGTGCGGTTGTCAAGCCTTGAATGGCATGAGGTGCTAGAGAAATTAGTGGCGAAGTACATTATCGGTCACCTGGAGGCACAACATCGACTTTCTCCTCGACAACACGGCTTTCAACAGAGCCGCTCCTGTTTATACAATCTCCTGTTGGCACGTGAGCATCGGTCGGAGTCTAGAGCTGATGTTGTGTTCGTGGATTTCAGCAAACCATTAGACAATGTCTCATGCGAAACTGCTGGTGAACGTGAGGTCGATGGGCATCCAGGACACCCTGCTATCCTGAGTTGAGGACTTCCTGAGGGGCGGACTATTCTCGATGAAAGTGTCAAGNGGGCACGATCATCATGGTTAGCAGTTCCGCGTTCCACAAGGATCGGTACTGGGGCCAATAATGTTCCTACTTTTCATCCGTGATCTGTCTGACTGTTTGGATTCCGAATGCTCGTTTTATGCGGATGATCTGAAAATCTGGAGACCTATCCAGACAGGATGCGACGTGAACACCCTGCAGAGAGACCTGGATGCTTTGATGCGCTGGTCACGAGCGTGGGATTTACCAATCAGTTCATTTCGGACAACCATTAACCATGCAGTTTCGTGCACCGGTTTTGGTTGCTGTCTCTTGGCTGCCAATTTGGACGACGAGACTGCACCTTGACGTGGTATGATGCTTGTCTACCTCTGACCCAACGAGATACAGGATGGCTTTTATCAAGCCGCAGATCTAATCATGCCTGGAAGGTCGAAAGGTAGAGGTCAGACGAAGTCCAGTATTCTGGCCCTCCAGGTTGGGGATTCGACTCAAGTAGAGGAGTAATCGATTCAAGTAAATGGACCTCCATTTCGCCTCGCCCGCTGCCTTGTGGTTAACTTCTTGTTAGAACTAAAGACTTTGAACGAGAACCCTAATCGTTCTCCTGCTTAGTGGCTAGACACCCTGGCAGTACCCGTCCATCAAACTCAAATGCATACACAAACAAAATTCCATACTCCATCGGTCGTCGCGCGGGGTAATCAGGACTTCGCTGCCCATTGCATCGAGTGGGGTGGTTAGTGATAAATGGGCTACTGTTCAGATATCTCAACCTTTGTTTCTTCCGTACCCAACCCCCTCCCTTTACCCTGTCTTCCAACTAGTAACATCCACTCAGACAACGTCTTTACTTGCCAAATTTCGTCGCCAAGTAGCCCGTTAAGTAGTTTACCACAAAATTGCAGGTTCTAAAGCCTCGTCAAACAATAAATTTTGGGGCCTTCAACGTGAGGACTTTGATGCAGGTAGGTCAACAAGCGTGTACAATGGACTCGTTGGGGATTGATGTCTGCTGCACATCGGAGACGGAAATTCAGCATCATAGTACCGTAAGCCACCTAAGTGTATCGGGGTTGTCTTCGAAGTTTTCCCTCCGCACGTCAGGTGATGACAAAGCCCTTTCAGTAGACCAGCTTGGTGTGAGCATTGTACTCAGCAATACAACCAAATCTGCACTACTCGATTGGATCGCCGTCGACAGTCGCTTATGTTCGATGCTGCTTAAACGGTCTATCAGCGCCCGGAAGGAAAGCAACACCAAAAGGTGTTTGTTCATTATTTCAGTGTATGTTCCGATGAAGTGCTGTTCTGACGAGGACGAGCTTTATGATAAACTCGCCGAACTCATTCGGTTGAGTCGAAGCTCCGATATAGTTGTTCTCGCAGGTGATTTTAACGCTCAAGTTAGGAGATTGAGCGCATCGGAAGCTTGCCTAGGCGGTCATTGGGCTCTGCCCTGCCGGCGAACAGATAATGGTGATCGACTTCTTCAGTTCTGCGCAGATCACCATCTGTTCCTATCCAGCACAGACTTCCGTCACAGCTCTCAAGGGATAGTAACGTGACGCTCCAATTCAACTGGTACGCTAACTCAAGTAGACTATATAGCAGTAAGCTAATGTTGGCGTGGCTTAGTACAAAATTGTAGATCGTATTGGACCACTTGCGTTGAATCTGATCATGCATTAGTTTTGATGAATAAGTTCAGGTCCCTCAGTCGTTACCTTTCTGGCCTGCTACCATTGTGGTTGCTAAACTTTGTTTTCGTTATGCATTGTGTGATGCCCTTGGCAAATGGCCATTTAATTTGAGTGTTAGTTGTTTTCACACCTCAGTGTTTTTTCCTCCATTCTAGCTTTCAGGTAACCGCCGAGAATCGCACTCGAAGAAAATTGTCTCCTGTATCCGTTCACGAAGCTGCTACACACACGATCTGAAGCATATTACAATAGTAGAAAATTGAAAGTACACTTAAAATGGACAACTGTCAATGGTTGACAGATCCGATCGCTATATATGACAAATGTTTCAGTACTGTCTATTTATTTTCCCAATCGCTTTTAGATGAAGATAGGTCATGTGCCAAGAAACGATTCTTGGAGATAATTGAAAGTGCACTTAAATCTTCCACATCCAAAGTAATCTCTTGAGCCGGCATCTTATTAGATTTAAATTCTTAGGTGCCTGCGCTAAACGAAGTCAGCATCGATTCCATTCCAGACGGTCATCTAGTTGTTGTTCACGGAATGGTTCAGGACATGTTTAACTGCGAACTGTACATGGACGAATTTAATATACCCAGCCGCCCCACTGATACTGTGTCACTCTGCTTTCGTGACTTCGGACCCCGCGAGGTGATTTTTATTGATCAAATGGCTTGCTGTAAATGAATACTCTGCCTAATATGTGTTTAGTAAAGTAATTGCTTCCTGTCACAGATTCAATTCGTAAGCTTTATTTGCATCCGAACTCAAATGTTTATGTTGGAATTTTCACTAAAAGCTGCTGAGAACATTGCAAATCATGAAAGAAGAACTAGTTATTATCTAAGCACAATCCTCATCATGGTGCCTGCAAACCCGAGTAAAAAAGTTTTGATTTAGTCAGAATGCCGACAGTCTATTTTTATGTTGTCTTTGTAATGGCCGCGTGTTTGCACTGTGTAACAAAACTGATCAAAGTGCTGAAGCATACACTTGACCTTTCACGATTAATTGGAGGTCGCGACGGAGCCGCGTTATCTACCTAAATTCTGATCTGGATCTCATTTTTACTTGGATCGTTATCTGTCGTGTTGTCGTTAACAGGTAACTCCTCCGTTATATTCATTTTTCCCAGTTGCGAATCTTTCTCCTACTTTAGATTTGGATTTAATCTTTTTTTGTTTTTTAGACGACACACTGCCGATATCCTCATCATCTTCGCTTTCATAACCCTGCGCGGCAAACTATAATGCTTGATAAAGAGACATATATTAATGGCTCACTATCATTTGAAGAGTAAAGTTCCACATGAGTGTGCACGGTCAATACTTAATTTCAACTATCCACTTCATGTTTTTCTTGTATTTCTCCCTTCTCGACAGCTGGACCTATCAGAGGAGCCTCAGAATGTGAAGTTTTCCGAAAGACAATCTTTCTACGTAGTTCCTGTTCCTGGAGAAACCGATTGGGTTCAAAAAATATCCTTTTCATTTGACCGAAACGTCTTCTCTGTCTTAGGATGCTTTCTTCACACAGTACAACTATGCTACGTAACATTGCCGTTGAAACTGATTATAATTCAAAGTCGAATAACCACCCAACAGATAATATTCATCGCCTGAGCTACAGATACTTGTCATAATTTCACCCTACGATCCATGTAAATTTTCAAATGAAGCACTAATGTAGGTTCGCCCTACGTTTCTTTTTATTCAATCTTGTGGCTATATGGTGCGACGAAACACATTTAAGATCGCGAATAATCAGACCAGAAAAATATATCTTGTGGTTTTATGAGATAACTGTTATTTCTGGTTAATGAGTATAGACTGATAGTCTTTCAACCGCTAAACGCACCCGCTTTGGTTTGAGCAGCCCTCAGCATTTTGTCCTTGAGTGAACCGTGGACCGATTCGTTTGTTGTAAATATTGCTGTACCGTGATTGGTTTCACACTCATTCTGAAGTTAAACTGGTGTGAAATATAATGATAACTATAAAAGCAATTGGGACGACCCATCCTCACAAAGTTGATCATTTGTAGTCAAAACTTCTGCTGATTTCCCTTGTACTTTTAATGCTCCCGTTTACCAGAGGTCTATTATAATCAGAACTTTCTGTACCATCTTTACCGCACACTTGCAGTTTGTAATGAATAGCTGATTCAGTTGGTTAGATTCTGGATTCTGGCAATTGCTTCTTAACATGTAGTATACGTTCGCATGGAAGAATCTCAGTATATTCTTCCTTTTTCTTCGGGATCTAAACGAAATGCGTCGGAAACACTTTCCATTGAGGCGAAGCGTAAAAGAAGCGAAGGTGAGTCATTTTAACATTTTAGCAGACATTTTTATGATCCTATTAGGGGATTCGGAGACGAAAAAAGCGAGAAAGCAGTTTCCATTGATCGAGGAGGAGTGCAATGAATTAAAAACGGGAGTATTGGTCAGAGTTAGTCTTTCGTTTATATCAATCTTGAACTTCATCTCCACGGATTTCCTCTGATTTTAATTCGTTATTTATTGGTATGACAGGCTTTATAACGAATATTATAAAATATTTCTTTTTTTGCTCAAGTTTGATCTCTATTTCGGTAAGTGCGACAGATCAAATTTGGTGCTTTGTTCTCAGTTTTCACAACCGCTGATCTTGCATTCTCGTGTTTTGTGCTACCAAAAATGACACTTGTAACGTTCATACCAGGGTGATGTTAGGGACTTCACTGCTACGAGGTCCTCATGATATCTCATAAACTTTGTTCCTGACGCCGGCTGATTCTCTATCGGGTAATAGCCGAAGTTAAATAAAATGTCGCAAAGGCATATGCTTGTTTTTGTGATGATCCAAGCGCCAATATGATACCAAACGGAATTACGCATTGCGGTTTCACGGCATCCAGTAAGAGGGCAGTATTTGGGACCAATCACATTCGCCGCAGCCCATTAAGGAATGCTGTGAGTAGAAAAACTCGAATGACTATTAGTTAGTACATTCTGAATCAGTAATCTTTTCTCCTACATTTTATTTACTCTGTTTGATTTCTCTTTATGAATTAAACTAACCTCAACCTCAACCTTGCCTCTCGGTATGAGAAGGTTCCGCTGGCTTATTGTGGGCGGTATTATTTTTGCCATTACTGACCTGTTCTGTGTGCTATATCTTGCTTTCCTAACGTAACAGAAAACTGAAAAATATGTATCTGCTGTCGTATTAATTTGATGACTTACTTGAAGTTCCATTCTCATTCTCGGTATAATTCATTGTCATCCCGCGATGTGCGCTTATTTATTGTTTCACGCTTGAAGTAATTCCAGTGCTCCAACAACCAAAATACTTCTTTCCTCAAATTACTTCTACATTGTTTATTGTATCGTACTCTTACGATTATGTTAGACTTACTTATCTTGGCATATTTTCATATAGGTCTATGAAAATTCGAAAGACTCTCTAAAAATCAATGAGGTAGTTCATATTTACGGCATTTTGGAACATACTCGTTTGGGATCTTCTGCCTTCCACGACGAGTGTATGCAAGACGGCAAAGGTTCTGAACCAGTGCCTCGTGTTCATGCTTTGTTTATTCGCCGACTAAAGCACAACAACCCCTTGGTAATCGATTGTTCCGGTGAGATCCGTTCTTCTGCTGATAATGCCTCATATTAGTCAGCTTATCTTCAATAATTGACGATATCAAAGCAGTACGTCAGAATATAATGAAGCTCCTGACAAGCTGTTTACACTGTGATGAGGCTGTGGCGCAGTACACTCTCCTGCATTTAATCAGCTCTCGGTAAGCATCTATTGTGTTTTGGCGTTTTTTTCTGTTGGATAGCCTTTTATCTTATATCCATTATTTTTATTTCATCGTTTTCGCAGTTCTGGTCAACCAGTGGGCCAGTATAAACTAAACCGTTTGAGAAAAATCGCTGGTGCTATTTCTATTGAATATTGTCATCCAGAATAGAGAATTGCANNNNTCGCAGTTGAAGAAGATCCGCACAATCCGGATTACACTGTAGAAATTCTTTTTACGCATGAATCTATAGTATGTTTTTGTTTTGTTTGGCTCATCAACAACCCATGCTGCTCTTTTGGATATGCACTTCGCTTCTTCAAAATGCGAAATGATGCTACGAGACTGGGTTTCAACTAACCCTTAGAAGCTCAATGGTTTAGAATTATTCCGTGTCTATCTGCGTCTCTTACCTAGGTATCGTGTGGAATGAAAGTAGNCACAATGAAATAGGTGTCTACGCGTGTCTCCTGCTCAAACAACGTCTACTGTTCTAACGCACTTGAAAACCGACGTGACATTTCATGGAATTTGAAAGGTCGCGTATATATTGTACATATTTACTATAGACTTGCGAACGAGCATGTTGCCAACGCAACAACAATAATAACAGGAAACGTAGTGGTTGAGATACAAAACAGAGTGAAATGGGAGTCAAACAATTATAGTGGGTAACACGAATAACAATTTTTTGTTTGTTTCATCGTCAATTTTTATATACTTTTTGTAGTTTAGGTTGTGTATAATAAGCTACAACCCAGTTTGCGGCTGAAACGTTAAGTTTGCGTGTGAGAGACAATTTCAGATTGGAGGTCGTTATTTGGGTAGTTTTCCAAAGGGTGAATAGATTCAGCCGGTTGACAGCATAACTAATCCCTCCAGGTTTTTTTTTGGAGGGAGGAGGGCTCAGTGAAAATAATACTGGTTAAAAGTTCACCTAAGTAGGCTTCACTGGTTACGACGTGTGTTGCGTCTGCCAAACAACCGTGTTACCTACCGTGGTTTATTTCTGATTGTTTTTCCAAGGTGAAGGAAGTCACATAGACGTTATCCGACATGGAATAGTTGTGAATAAAGTGCCTGCAAAGGTGTACAGATTAGGGTTTTAAAGACGAAATTTAAGTCTTGGTTTTGGAGTCGACGAAATTCCTGAGCTCAGTTTGGGAAAAGAAATAAGTTCCAAATAAATGGTGTAAATCTATCATCTTACCGATTTATAAGAAAGATAACAGACCCTCTTGTGAAAACTACGGAGGAATTACTTTATTCATCATAGTCTCTAAAATTCGCACTGGCTTCTTACTCCTTCGATTGTCTACTGCACGTGAACAGTGCACGCGGGAGAATCAGGCTGGTTTTAGACCTGCTCTAGGTTGTATCGACTGCATTTTCGCTCTTCAACACATTTTAGAGCACAGCTATTCTTTTCTTAGGCCTACCATTTTTATCTTGCCTTATCTGAAAGGGGCCTTCGACTCAGTCGACCGCTGTAAACTCTGGCGCTGCCTCTCCTTAAAGGGTGTACGCCAGAAGTTAATTTCAACTACTAATAGCCGAAGCCGAGTACGAGCTTATGGCACTTTTGCATCCGAGTTCACCACAAAAAGTGGTGTTCGTCAGATTTGCTTTCTCTCTCCTTTTCTATTTGATTTTGTAGTAGACATGATTCTGGAAACTGTCCTGTTCTCGTGCTAGGATAATGGTATCGCTTTGGTTCCAGGTGGCAGATTGTCTGATTTGGAGTATGCAGATGACATTGTACTGCTAAAAGAAGATCCGAGTAGGTTTCAAGCTTTTCTGTATAGTTTGTGATAATGTAACGATGTTCGGTATGCGTTTGCACCTTCGAAGTGTATAGTGTTACTATAGGACCGGGTTGACCCAGCTCTCAACCTCACTCTAGCTGGGAAGTAGGAAAAAAGTAGATAGGTTTTGCTGTTTGGGCATCTGTCCCATCAGGATGGTTTGTCGTTACTCATACAAAGGGCTCGGTTGGCATTTGCCAAATTGAGTCATCTATGGTGCCGACGCGACATCCGGTAAAGGGTCGAGTGTATACTACAGCGTTGCACGAGTCTGGTGGGCAAATGGGACAAGCAATGCAGAGCTTAACGGCAGAGGTTTAAGTAATCGCGGTCGTCCAATGGAGCTAGTGGTCTATCTCCATAGGCTGCGTCCGTTGGGAATGTGATGCGCATGTCAACAAGTAAGTTGTCACAGCGCGTGCTGTTTGCCGAGGCAGGTGATGGGTGGAAAAAGTAAATGGTAGTAAAACCAAGACCTGGTATGAGGACGGTATTAGGCTTCCGATATGAGTGGGTAACAGGATCATTTTAACCAATGATGATACTGAGTCATATAGCTGTGTCGTGAACAGTGGTGCTCATGCATCTACTCATTATCTTTGCAACCTTAGTCTTCATGAATTATCAACTTTCTCTCTGAAACTGATTTGAACCTTCCAGTCTTCCGTCATCCAAATAGACAGTCATGAGATTGCAGCCGAAACCCACGCACGAAAGTGTATGGTTAGTGGTTGTAAAAACTGAACGGACTGAACTGAGGTATCTGTAATTATTCAGAATAGCCAACTGAATGAAGACATTCGAATTTACGGTTCAAACATCAGAGGTTGTGAGCAATCATCTGACTTCAATTGCTGTTTACCGCTGTGTGCTAGTGTTGGAAATGTGTATTTATTATAACCATAACCCTAGCACTTTGACTTGAAGTGACGAGTTACTTTGAGTAAAATCTTAGACCCAGCGGCTGTCCTCCCTGAACGGTTTGCGCGACTTTCTCCTCTTTATAATTAGCAATGTTATTTTCTTGCCGAGAGACCCGTTTTTATCAGTCATAGCGTAAGTGTATTGATATTCATATTAGGTTATCTTCTTTACATGTAACTGTATGTTAAGCTTACTATGTAATAAAATCCATTCATCTCAATTTTTCGGAACTGACCATACTTCAGACTTCACCTTCGCACGCAGTCCTCAGCTCCTCCAGTCAACCACATACTCGGAAACACTCGACTCGATTTTCGCTCTTATTGGAACTCATCGGTAGTGCATATGCACCATCCTGTCCGGGATTTCAACTTCGGACCCATCACATAGAAGGTATATGTATTACAACTGAGCCAACCCAATCCATGCCAGGGCTGAACCGAATTGCCAGTTCATGTTTGTTCAGGTGTCGTCTTCAGAAATAGTCATTTAGTTCATTTGGGCTCGGCAGAAACAAAGGGATATAATGGTACACAATGGTGATACACACGCCTTCTATGCGATGGTTCCGGAGTCCAAATCCCTGACGGTGGATATGCATTACTGATAAGCTATAATAAGAGCGAAAGTCGAGTCCGGTGCTTCCGAGTGTATTGTTGACTGGAAGAGCTGAGGATTGTGCATGAAGATGAAATCCGATGTATGATCATCTTCAATCGATCAGTTATCGCACACCACTACTCATAAGCAATGCGAATCCCGATTTTTATTTGTCTTGTGCTGATCCATCTATTGTAACAAAGAAAACATTTATTGTTAACATGAGGCTCAGGGTGTTAGCAAGACAAGGGTGTTTACGAAGGTACTGAGTGAGTTTGCAGATGCGCGAATATCGCTATTTGTGACTCATCTGTTCGCAATGGCCGCTTTGAGAAATCCACCAGTTCCGCTCTGCTTTAAATTGTCCCATGCCAACGTGTTGGCTTTGTTTTACTTGAAAACATATACGGTTCTCTTTAAGCTATAGTGTATGTTCTTCGAAGGGATGTATTGGGACTGATCCATTTAGTGCTTCTTCAATGGGATCTTTATACTATTTTGACGTTCGATGAAAAATTCTCAGTTTTCGAAAGCACGTTACATTTCGGTCGGTTGAATGCAGTTACACCTCTGTTAGCTTGAAAAATTGTGTTTACAAGGCATTCCAGTTAAGTAACTACACTTCCTCTGTGTTATACCAGTCGTTTGTTTCCAATGGCACGGTTAAAGATAATTTTTAGTCTTGATAAATATTTACTTCATGGGATTATAATCCTCTGTTCAACTCCTTTGAAACAGTATTTTGAACGCAGCTAATTTGACTATCATTTAGGAATTCTACTTATTGTAGCTCACTATCTCGATTTGCTGATTTGTCGAAGTCAGCACCACAGCCCTCTGTGTACTGTTCATCAGATACTTTCCGAAATTAATTGTCTGCCAAAATAAATTTTCCGATTAATTGATAATTTTTCTACGAGATATTCTTTGTGACTTTCTCATTCCTTTTCTCAGGTTGCTTGCTGAAAGCCCCTACCCGACCACACTTCCAGCGCTCAATCTGATTTGCATTGCCACAAGCACAGGCCTCATTCCGGACACTTCATCCGATGCCGAACCGATGGAAGTACAAACGGAGTGTGATCTTTCACTAGAACTGTGGAGTCGGTTACACGAAATTGTACCCAAACTAGTCACTCAACTGGCCACTGTTGATCTGACTTTGGATTCACTTAACAATGGTCCCTGTTTGATGCCCATTCGAGATCCTTCCAAAGGAGTTTTGGATGCCGGTCGATTACAAGTTCCTGACGGTACACAGGTCGGTAGTGAATTTTCCCCATTCCAGTTAGTCCTATTCGGTTTGGGTAGTTTGATTCTCTCAAATTTCCGTATTTCTCCAGGCAACCTCTGTATAACCTTGGCCTCCTTCGTGAAAGTTGACTGTACATTTGTATGATCAACAAAACATTAAGTATCAAAAATATTAATTAATTGTTTATTTGTAATTTTATTGATTGTTTTCTATGATTTTGATCGGTAGATTCTTGTGGATGAAACCAAAATGAGCGCTGGACAGCTCCAAGCCCGTGGTCTTCTGAACTTACGCGCGTTGACTCTGTTGGCTACGGAGCAGCGCGTTCCCTACGACTTTCAGTTTTACACGCAAGAATGGGAGACAAACGCACGTGTACTAATCGTGTCCTGCGGGCCGTCATTAATTAAGGTATAGTTGTCTTTATGATTGAATTTTTCCTTTTACTGACTTCAGCTTCACTGAGTCTGAATTTTTAAGAAAAACAACTTGTGCTTTTTATTACTTAATAACAAAATAAATGCTCATCATGGATTAACTACTTAACAAAATCATACCTGAGGCTTTTAGACTTTTCAACACCTTACCATTCTAAAGCAAGCCTTTCTTCAGATTAATCTCAAAAGAAAATACCATGCGCCCGGGACGATTTCGCTCATTTTCACAAAAAGAAGCACTCAAAACAGCAGCTCGACAGGTGGGGACGGTTATTTATTACATAGTTGACTTATGGTTTCCAGACAATAGAGATGGCTAAACATGTTTTGGAATCTCAGACGCGGTTTATTTTCAACAAAGAGCGACGGTGACCTTGAAAATAAAAAAAACTCAATTTTAGAGAGCTAAAGAGATAGTTGCATGAAAATACAAAAAATCGGTGCCCACATACAGTTGTGTATAATCTAAATCGGCCTCACACTTTTGGACTGCCAGTAGAAAATACCATGGACTACGTGATTCATTAGTTATATGGCTTTGCATTGAAACCGGTTTAAGAAATTAAAGATAGCGGATCAAGTTCTACCTCTCCGGTAACTGTAAGGTGTAAGAGTACGTTGAATCTTTGCCCTTTGTATCGATAGATGAATAGAAGTATAAGATACATCTAAAGCGAAACAAGAAGATGCTTTCACAGTCATATATATA